AAAAAAAAAAAATGGTAAAACGAAAAAGCAAACGAAAAATTAAAATGAAAAAAAAAAAGTAAAATTAGTTTATTAAAAATATATATATATTTTTGCTTAATAGAATAAAAAAAAAAAAAAAAAAAAAAAAAATTATACATATAATAAATAATTATATATATAATGTAATTCTTTTATACATCAGCGATATTATTTTTAAGTAAAATTCCAAGTAAAAACGGAACAATTCCAGCAATGATTCCATTCAAAAGCATACAAAAAGCACATTTAAGAGGTTTTTGATTCGTAAATTGTGACTATAAATTGAAAAATATATATATATATATGTAAATATGTATGTTATTTGCAAATATATTTATTATAAGCTCAAATTTTCTAATATATAAGTCATAAAAAAATAATGTAAACTTACAATGTGTTACAATATCATATATTTAAAAAATGAGTGACAAAAAAAGAAATTAATTGAAAAATATATATATATATATATATATATATAAAATGTAAGTTAATACCTTAAATAATCCCAAAATAAATAAAGTTATTAATGTTGATATAAAAACAACTAAAAATGAAGTATTATAATCTGTATATTCAAAAAATACTATATAAGCTACAAAAGAAGATAAAGGAATTAATCCAAATACACAAAAACTTAAAAACATAATAATTCCCTTTTTCATAGATTCATTTTTATCTTCATTAGTAATAATAAGACCTAATTCTTCTGACATCATATGTTCAAGAAAAAAATTTTTATTTCTAAAAGCTATTTCTACTAAATTTCTTGCATCCTCACTATCAAATTTATATTTATTCATATAAATATCAATCATTTCTTGTTTTTCTTCTGATGGACAATTTTCTATTTCCCATTCTTCTCGTTTTTTTTCAGCTAGCATAAAATCTCTTTGAGCTGATGAACTTGTATATTCGCTAAACCCCATGGAAATCGCATTAGCAAATAAATTTCCGATACCTATAATTATGACTTGTGTAGGTGTAATTTTTGCTCCTACACATCCTGAAACTATGGCGAACATTGTTATAATTCCATCTAAACTACCAAATATTATTGTTTTTAAATTATCCCTATCAAGATTATGATCTTCTCCATGTTTATCTAAGTTATGATAAAAATCATGTGCTTCTTTTGATTTTTCTACGTCTTCATTATAAAAAGCTTTTTGTGCTTCTAATGTTTTTTTGCTTACCATAATTTTACAAAAAAATAAAAAAGTAAATTTAAAAAAAAAAAAAAAAAAAAGAAGGTATACGTCACTTTTAATAAAATATATAAATATTTATTTGCATATATTACATATAAAAATTATATTAAAAAATTATTTTATTTTTTAATAGATAAAAAAAAATTTACAAAAAAAAGAATTGAAAATTTTGTAATAAACATTATAGAATAAAAAAAAATGCTCGGACTAAGGGTCATTATATATAGCATGCTTCAATTTAAGTAAAATCCTTTTTGGATTTTAAAACTTTATAATTTAAAAAATAGATATAACAAGAAATATAAAACATAAATGATAATTTCAACATTAAATGTATATCTTCTATTCATAAAGAAATTTTTTATACTCAAGTTATTTTAAAGAATATTATAATAAATAAAGAAACATTATAGTATCATATTCAAATAATGACAAAAAGTACCAATTATTTACTCCATTGCTCAATTTAGTTATATTTATTCTAATATAAAGAAAATATTACTTTCATTTTAGGTAATTTTTTTTGTTAAATAGAAGAATATATATATATATATAAATAATTTTAAATTCTGATAAATACTTATTTTAATAATATTTAATGAAGTTTTTTTTTATTTTATTTTATTTTATTTTATTTTTTATTTTTTTTTTTTTTTTTGTTTATTTATTTTATAAATTATAAATTTCACTTTTTTTTTTATATCCTGTATTAATTTCTATATTTTAGCATGTTTCAACCTGTTTCAATTTATAATACGTCCTTTCTTTTTATTTATTTAACGCATATATATTAAAATTTATTTATTTTTAATGTTATATATATTTTCTTCTACTAATGTTATTTTTTTCTTTTTTTTAATATTCCCCTTTGTACCATTTAATTTTCTTTACATAAACAGAAAGAAAAAATTATAACCTTTTTTTCCATTTATAAATAATAACATTTTTTTAATTATAAGTTTATTTCTTCTTTAATTTTGTTTTTTTTTTTTTTTTAAGAAATTACTTTTAGTTTGATATAAAAAGAAATTTTAACTTATAAATATTTGTATGAATGAAATTTTTGCAAATTTTAAAAAATACGTAACACTTACAGTATAAATTAAAATGGCTAATCATATTTATTTATATTAAGAATATATATAGGAGGTTTATTTTATATGTCATTTTTCCAAATAGTAGGAAAGTCTAATTAAATTATTTAAATTTTAATAACATATATCTAATAAAAATTTATTGATAAATGTAGAATATTGTAATTTAATTATATAATAATAAAATATTTGCAATAATTAAACTGGAAACAGTAAATGTTTACAACAAATGGAATTATTTAAAAAAGAAAATGAATTTACAAAAAATAATTATAATGAAAAGAATAAAATTGAGAAATTAGAAGAAATAAATGATCACACTAATAATAATAAGAATAATAAAATTAGTTTAAATAACAATAGTAATTGTATAGATGATAAAAATAATTTTAATAATAATAACTTAGATGAAAATGATAAAAATAATTTTAATGATAATAACTTAGATGAAAATGATAAAAATAATTTTAATAATAATAACTTAGATGAAAATGATAAAAATAATTTTAATAATAATAACTTAGATGAAAATGATAAAAATAATTTTAATAATAATAACTTAGGTGAAAATGATAAAAATAATTTTAATGATAATAACTTAGATGAAAATAATAGTAAATTAAATGATAGTAATAATAATCTTATTAATGAAACCTATAATTCAAGTGAAGATGATAACAAGTTAATTGAAAATGATAAAAGAAAAATTATAATATTTTCATCTATTCTAAGATATAAAAGATACTTGACAAAAAAAGGAAATACTTATTTTGATTTTAATCAAACTAATTTAGAATTAAATGAAAAAGAAATGTTAGTACAAAGTAGTAATTTTTATCATTTATTTGATCTAAGATCTTTGTTTTTTCCTCATATTTATTTAAATATTAACTCACATATGAATATAAATATTTCTGATTATTTAAACTACATAAAAAATCAACAAAATGAAGGTATTAAAAATGAAGAAAATAAAGACTTAAATTATTTTTCAAAACAAGAATTCATTTTAGAATCTATTGAACAAGTGGAACACATAGAAATGTAAGTAAAGAAAATATATAGAATGATATCAAATTAAAATGAACTAATAATAAATAAAGAGAACTAAAATAAAATAAATTTAATTAAAAATGAAATAGTATGAAGCTAAAATATGATAATTATAAAGTTATCTTCATTTTATATAATTTAATTTTTCATTTTAATAATATTTTTAAACTTTATTATTTTTTTTTTTTTTTTTTTTTACGCAGCTTTAGAAAAGTAAAGATAATAAAAAAATTATTTTTAATATTAAACGAGAATGTTTCCCAAAAATTTAAAAACTATATTGATAACTTACCATATATCAATTCAAATGATTATATTTTTGTTCAGACTAATCGTAAAAATGATATATTATTTGGATATATTAAAAGTAACAAATTTAATTTATTTTTTGAGATTTTAAATTTTAAAAAAATGTTTTTTCAGTATTATAAGGATAATATAAAAATAGATATATATGATATAAACTCAATAAATAATTATGAAGATTATTTTGAAAATATCAATGGAATTATATTTTTAAAAGAACAGAATATATTTGTAAAAAAGGATTTATTTGAAAATATTAATTTTTATTCTAAATATTATTATGATTATTATTTTTCTAAAAATTCAATTGTTGAATATGATTATTCAAATAAAAAAAAAAAATTTCTTTTGGTTTTTAATTTATGTGTAAATTATGTTAAGAATAACTTATTTATAATTGTTATTTATAATGATAATAATTGCAATAATAATTCAAACGATAATAATTCTAAATTTTTATATTATGAAGAACTAGATCTGTATAATAAGCAATTTAATTTAAATAATATAGATAAAAATTTATTTAAAACAAATTCCTTTTTTATAGATAATTTATATCATAGATTAAAAAGTAAACTATTATGTTCTTTTTCTTTTAAACATATACTTTTAAATGATTATTTAACAAGTATTAATATTTCAAAAATAAAAAAGAATAAATTTTATAAAAATTTTTATACATTTAATATTTTTTGTTTATCAAATGAAGGTATAGTTTATATATTTTTTTGTAATTTATTAATATTAAATATTTTTTATGAAAACAAATTCGAATTAATTGTAAAAAAGTATTTTTGCTTTCAATTAAATAAGGAAAGTTTATATAGAAAAATAAGAGTAGTAAATTGTAACTCAAAGTATTTGTATTCTTTATGTACCCATAGTAATTTTCCATACAAAAAATTTCATGATTTTGTTAATGAAAACGTGTTATCCAAAAATTTAAATGATACATTAAGAAATACAGAAAGAGAAAGTATAATACATTGTGATGATGATTCAAATAAAATTGAAAATATTTTTACAAATAGTTTTTCAACTTACGAAAAAAGTGATAATGAAAATGTAATTAATAATAATGATCTTGATTATAAAATAAATAATAGTCATTCTAATATAGATTGTTATATAAATAAAAAAGAGTATTCTAATTATACTGGTATGACAGAGTATAAATATACTTTTCTTATAATTACATGTAAATATGATTTTTCTATAGTAACATTAAGAAGAAGAAAAAAAAATTTTAATATGGAACTTATTAATTATTCTTGTACAAATAGCAAAAATTCTAATAATGTTATATGTGATATAATAGTTAATAAATGTAATTTTGAAAAATATAATGAAAATAAAAAAAAAAATAAAAGTTTTATTATATTTGAAATAATATGTTTTTATCAAAATGGTTTTATGAAAAAATACAGTTATGTATGTTCCTTAAAAAATAAAAATTTTGAATTTTTCCTAATGGAAAATGAGAAAATGAAGAATGGAATTATTTCAAAAAAAATTTTTTTTAAGCCAGTTCTTTTTCCTTTTAATGAAGAAGTATTAAAAAAAAAAAAAAAATGTAATGACATAATTTTAAATAATGTACATTTGAGTCACTTTAAAAATTTCATATATATATACTTTCAAGAAAAGCAATATGAAAGCATTAGTTTAACAATTAATAATCAATGTTTAATTATTAGCTATATTAAAACGATAAGTAAACTTTTTAAAAAAATATACACTTTACTAAATAAAAAGAATGAAAAAGAAAATATCAATTCAAATGTGAATAATAAAAAAAAAGAAAATTTTGAGAGTTATCTTAGTATTAATAAAAATAATAATTTTCTAGACAAAAATAATGAAATGAATTATTATAATGATAAAATAAATTCTTTTTTAGATGAAGTTAATAAATCAAGTGAATTTTATGATAAAAATATAAAAAACTATTTAAACTGCAATTTATTCACTCAAAGAGAACACAAGACATTTTTTTTGGAGTATAAATATATTATATTTGGTTTTTATGATATACATCTAATAAATGAAAAAAATAACAAAAATATAAATGAAATGAAAACAAAAGTGAATAAAAAAAATTCAGTGAGCTCTTGTGACATACATAGTCACTTTAATTTTTTAAATATTATAAAAAGTTACATTAATTATGATAATATTAAAAAAAGCATTCATAATTTAACTAATGAAAACAAAAAAATAAAAATGAATTTTTATTACTTTCTTTTAATTTTAAATTATTTTCAAAATAATTATATATCTGAATATAATTCTTTTTTTCACCTAGCATACAACGAATTATATCAAAAAGTAAATTTCACTTATAAAAGAAAAATATATTCCAAATTATTTTTTGAAAACTTTGAATTAATAGATATAAAAAAATATGGTGGTATTTTATTGTCATTTTTATTTCACATGTATAATTTCTGTTTGAAACAAAATGGGCTCAGTAATGATGATTTCAATTCTCATATTACTTTTTTTTTAATAAATAAAAAAACAAAAAAAAATAAAAAAAAATTTAGATATATTTACAAAATGGATGAAAATAAAAATACTAAGTCATATGAAAATTTAAATAAGGATGAAACTAAAGCCATACAAAGTTTAAGTGAAGAATATAAGAAAGATAATTTTGATAATATAAAAAATAACATAACTAAAAAAAATACCGAATTTGATGATAAAAAAATGTTAATGAATGAGAACAAAAAGGTTATAATTAATTTTTTAACTTTAAAAAAGTGTCTATATTATATAAATAAAATTAAAAAATATATGAGTTACATATTAAACACAGAAGTAAGTGATTGCAATACTCAGTTTGATATTTGTATAAATATATATATTTGTCAAATATTTTATATTATTTTAAATACATTGCGAATAAACAACACAAATATTTTTGTTAATTTAAATTATAACATAAAGAAAAACAATTTAGATTATTTTTATATATTAATTTTAATTAATTTCTATAGCTTATTTTATCTTCTTATCTCTCCTGAAAATATATTAAAAGAAAATATTGAAAATGAAAAAAAAGTGGATAATGAAGAAAATAAAATAAATAAAGATATGGATATATTAAATTTTTTTAACAACATTTATGTAGAATATAAAAATAAAAACATAGAAAAAACAAATTCTTCAAATATAGAAAATATTAGCATTACTTCGGAAAGTTTTGAAAAATATTTAGCTTTAACTTATGAAATTATAAAAGAAAAAACAAACAAAATAAATGTAGATAATTATATTGTTGAAAAATTATTATTTAAAATAAATTGTTTTTTTTGTAATAAGATATGTATATCTAACCTATATAATAATTATTATATATGTGAAAATAATCATATATTCAATAAATGTATGATAACTTTTTGTTGTATTTATAAAAATAATCTAATATTACCTACTATTTTCATTTTAAATGATTTCAATAAAAAATTATTTGATAACTTTAATGCTCCTTTAAACTTTAATTTATTGATTCAAGTAGATTATATTTATTTTTGTTCATTCTGTTATTATTTTATTTCAACTAAAAATACTTTTTTTGAAAAAAATTTTCTTTTTAATCAATGCCCTTTTTGTAATCATGAGCTAAATATTTTATAAATATTATCATTTTTGTATTATTTTTTTTTTTTCTATATGTTTATTATTTTATTGACAATAATTAGACTTTTTTTTTTTTTTTTTTAACTTAATTCTTTTGAAGTACTACATACTTTTAAAAAATTTTTAATTTTGTAGAATAATTTTTAATGTTTTTTAAATATCAAGGAAAATATTTTAAATAATTTCTTATATATAAAGAATTCTCAAATTATTTTAAGTAATCAATAAACTCATAACCTTTTTTTTTTTTTTTTTTTCCATGGAACATATCTTTTTAATACATAATGTTAAATTTTTCTAATAATTTAAAAATATATATATTCAAATTTAACTGAAACTCAAAATATATATAATATGTGGTATAGCTTTTTAAGGTTTTCAATAATGGTTTTATTAATTAAAATAGATTAAAATATTTTAAAGTTATTATATATATCATTTTTTTTCTTTTTTTTTATAAATTAATATATTAAATATTTCATTAATCATTTATTCACAGTAGCATTTATATAGTAACATATGTATAATGTGTCGAATAAGTTAAACAAAAGCATTTATTTTTTTCAAAGTATATTAAAATAATAACTATATTTTTCTTTCCCTTTTTTAATAGTTTTACTTTTTCTCTAAAAAGAATACATTTGTTTAAAAAAAAAAAAAAAAAAAAATTTTTTTAATTTTTTTAACTGTTAATTTAAAATAAAATAATTTTGAACGGCTGATGTAAAAAGCAAGAAAAACATACTCTATATATTTTTATATATTTGTTCTTTGTGTAATATGGAAAAAAAAAAAAAAAAAAAAAAAATTAAACATAATTATATGGTTGTGTTATTTGTTTATGTTTTTATGAAAATTTTAAATATATCATAAAATAAGATAATAACATATTTTTTTTTTTTTTGTTTCATGTAATAAAAAATACATAAAAAAAAAAAAAAATATTGTGTTCTTTTTTTTTCTCTCCTTTTTAATTTAGTATTATATATTTTATACATTTTAAGTAATTAAATCTATATTTTTATTTGTTAAAATTTAAATATATAAATATTTTTAATATATAAATAAAATAAAAAAAAATAAATAAAAAATAATAAATAAGAGTAAAATAAAAACAATTTACTAAAGGAATAAAAAATTGAAATAAGGAAATTTTTTTCTTGTAAGAAAATACAATATATATATATATATATATATATATATATATATATATATTTATAAAATAAAAAAATGATTATGCCTGTATATGAAAGAAAAAAAAAAATTATGTATATTTAAAAAAAAAAAAAAAATGACAAAGTAAAATAAATAAAATGGATAAAACACAATGTGTTGTATGTGGAAACACCAGCTTTAGAATTGAGGAAGGACAATATGTTTGCAACGAATGCAATTATGTAAGTGAAATTGTAGTTGAACAGTTTGATGAAGCTTACGATTTACAGTCAGTTAATGATGATTTAAATAATCAATTTCTTGAAAAAGATATTTATAATATTATAAAAAAATTATATAAAGATGATAATTTAAGTAATAATATAGCAAAATATGTCTTTAAAGAAAATGATGAATTTTTTATAAATTTTCAAAAAATTTTAATAAATTTTATACACACATTTATTACAGTACACTCATTACCACCAATTATATATGACGAAATTAAAAAAATATGGTTTTACATATTGGAATTAAATATAAAAAATTTGAACATTTATATGCCATTTGGGGGAATGAAAGATTCCTTGAGATATGTATACGAAGTAATAAAAGATAAAAAAATAGTAGAAGTTTTAGAAAATATGAAAAATGATAATAATATTAATGAAGAATTAAAAAATGTAGCATATAAAATGGGTTTAAGCAAAATTTCCTATTTTTTTACCTTACAAAAAAAATATTTACATAAAACATTTAAAATGACCGAATTTTATCCTAAGAAAAGTGAAATAAATAAACAATTCAATATTAGATTATTAAATTTATATAGAAAAACTTCATTGTTGGATAGTGAAAAGAAGAATAGACAAGATTTTATACGATTTAATGAACTGATTAATAGTATAAAACAGTCAAAAACAAAAAACGAAATTAATAGTAATAATACAAATGATTTTTTTGATATAGATTATAATGAAGAAGATATTTTAAACTATGAAATAAATTCAAATTATGAAAATAATTCAGAAATATTAGATTTTATATCAATGGAGAATTTGGATATACCTAATTTTGAGATAGATAAAAAAGACAATATATATGAGAAGGAAAATAATTTAAACAATGAAAATAAATCAAATAATTATCTGAATGTTAATAATAATATTATGAAAAATGACAGTTTTTTAGATGCTGAACGTGTTTATCACTTTTATTCTTCATACTTAATTAATAAATTTTTACTTTCAAGAAATTTATCCAAACCAATTGTTAAAAATATATCATGTTATTTCATGAATAGATCAACTAATTACAATGAACTTATTGGTTTAATTTATGAACATGATTTTTTATATTACCTACATGAAGAATTAAAAAAAAAATGTGATATTGAGTTTTTATCATATTATGATATTCTGCAGGTATTTAAAGGAAACTATGATCATTTGTTATATTCATCATTATATGAAGAAAATTCAGATATTTATAATAATAGTAATCTTGAAAATAATTCAAACAGTAATAATAATGATCATAAAAATAACATTTCATTAAGTAGCAAAAATGAAGAGAAATCATTTATAAACAATAATGAATTTACAACAAATAATTTAGAACTTGAAAAAAATATAGAAATAAGTGATTTTCAGTATACAACAGAATTAAAAATAAAAAATGAAATGGATGATAATTATGATATAAATAGTTTAGAATATGATAATAAACATAAAATAGACGAATCATTTGAAGAAAAAATTGAAATTAATAATTTTGAATATGACGATGATTTTAAAATAAAAAAAGAATTAGATGATATTTATGAAATAAATAGTTTACAATATGATAATGAATATAAACAAGATATGATTGAATTTGGTGGAAATATAGAAGCAAGTGAATTAGAATATAATAATGAATTAAAAATAAGTAATCAAAAAGAAAATGAAGAAACTAATTTTAAAGAAAAGAAAGTTTTATGTGATGATAGCAATGCTATTCAGGATGTCTTAAGAACATACAAAAATTATATTGAATTAAACAAAGAAGTATGTAAAAAAGATTTATCAAATTCGTCAGTAATAGCTGTAAGTTCATCTTCCGATAATGAGAATGAAAATAAAAATATGGAGGAAAAAACATTTCATAAATCAATTACAAATTATAATTCAATAGATAAAAAACTGTCATATCAAAATGAAAATTTATCGGAATATATGAATGATATGATTGATAACAAAATAATTTATGACGATAACTATATTTGTGATAGCTTTAGTTGTAGCAAAAATGTTAAAGAAAATACTTACGTTGATAATGAAAATGATTCCACTATACATATTTTTGAAGATAATAATAGAAAAGAACTTAAATATGAAAAAAATTCTAATAATGTTTTAAGTATTACTTCTAGTGACAATATCAGAAGGAATTTAAATAATAATGATAATGGTGATAATAATAACATAAATAATAATTTAAGTAATAATACAATTGGTGATAACTTAAATAGTAACATAAAATTTGATATATATAAGAAATTAGAATATATAAATAAAATAAAAAAAAAAAATAAATATAAAATTGAAAGGAATTATTATGATAATGGATTAAAAAATAAAAAAGAAAACTTAAACAGTATATATTCACTTGCAAAACAATGTATATTTAAAAATATTAATGAACAAAATTCACACGTGAATGTTTATATTCCTGAAAAGTATCTAATTGATTCTTTTGTATTTGATGATATTTATAAAAAGGTTCTATATATTTCGAATCTCAAAAGATTTAGAACATTATCAATAAAACATATTTATAAGGAATATATAGAATTTTTTTTTAAAGATTATAAATATTATTTAATAGATAGTGAAACTTATAAATTTTGTTTTAATTTTACTTTTGATTTACTATTTTATATACTTTATTATTGCTTAAAAAGATTAAATATATATTGTTTGCCTCATAATATGAAAAATTATATTAATTCTGATAATTTTAATTTATATAAAATTTTTAATAATGTTTCAGAATCCTTCTTTAAATTATTTAAAGAGCAAACAATTTTTAATTTTCCCTTGAAGAATTCTCATTTTTCTGAACTTAAAAAATATTTTTTTATAAGAAATTTAAAAAGTAGCATACCATTTATTTGCATTCATAATTATGAACACAACAGCAAATATTTTATGGAAGAAACAGATAACCAAAATAATGATTACATTTATAAAGAAATTTATCATAAAAAATTAAAGTTACATTTTTCTAAAATGAAAAATTTAAATTTTCTTGTAAATAGAAAGTGGTTAAAAGATTTAGAAAATTTTAATGGATATTTAATAATAAACATGTATTCTTTAATTAATGATTTAATCTTTAAATTTCAACTTCCGAATGCAATTCAAACATATTCTATTAAACTTTTAAATTTAGTTATATTTAAATATAGATTTTCACAGTTTCTTTATAATGTATATAGTAATAAATACGATGATTTACATATTGAATTAAATAATTTTTATAATTACAAAAAAATATATAAGGACTGTTTTACATTTTTCGGTGGAAAATATAGAGGAGTTCCTTTAATAAATGATATAAACAAATATATTCTATATTTAATGAGAAAAGAATATTATATAAAAAAAAAATTTATTGAAACAAAAAAATATTTAATGCCTGATAAAGTAAATGTTAATTATAAGGTTTATAATAAAATTAACTACTTTTATAGACAAAAATTTTTTTACACTTTTTATAATATTCCTTCTAGTTTATATTTTTCTAAAAAGCATTTTTATAATATAGCTGCTGGTTGTGTTATAATTGCTTGTAAGTTGTATTATCCTATGTTTTCTAATGATTTTTTTTGTTACGAAAATATGTTTGTAAAAAACAAATATGAAAGTTATCATTTGAATAATCATTATAAATGTCATATTCAAAATAACTTCAATTTCTATAATAAAGATATTATTCATAAATGTGTTCAAATAAAGAAAATAACACAGGAAAAAAACAACAAAAAAAAGAAACTAAAAAAGCATAAAAAAGAATTTCTTAATAGAAATAAGAAAGAAATAGTAATAAATGAAAATAAAGATAAAAATGACACTTGTGATAATTTACTGAAGAGCAAAATAAAGTATATTTTAGAAGCAGCAATTACAAGAAAAAAAAAGAAAAAAATTGATAATGAAAAAAGGATATGTAAATTAAGAAATATTAAAAAAAAAAGAAAATTTTTAAATGTATGGGATCAAAAATATTCCTCAAGTAAATATATAAAGACCAAAAAATTAAAATGTAGTAATTTTAATGAAGACAATAACAATAATGAAAATTATGTAACAAATGAATTCAATTTTGATAAAATTTTTGAAATAGAAAATAACACTTTGGAAACTAGTGATAAATATGTTGATATAGAAAATAAAAAACTCGAAGTAGAAGATAAACAAATTAATATAAATGAAGAAGATAATTATACGAATATAACTAACCTTAATGAAAATTATAATCAATCAGAAAAAAAAAATGGCAATGAAAATGATAAAATAGATTCAAATATAAGAGAAATAATTTTAAACACAAATGTAAATTACATATGCGATCAGTCAAATGAAATATACATGAATAAAAATATAGAAATTGAATCACTAAATGAAAGAAACTTAAGTGATTATTATAATGATATCTTAAATGGAAATAAAAATGAAAGTTATTTTGACAATTATTTACATAAAAGCTCAAAATATTATGAAGAAAATTTAGTTTTTGATTTCTTAAATAATGACTTTTGTGATGACTATATTTATAATTGTTTAATTATTGAGGATTATGACTTTGAAAATGCTATTAAAATGAAGTCAATTAAAAAAGAAGTAAAAAAACAAAAAAAAAAAAAAATTAATAAAATAGTAGTAAAAGAAATCCATTTTAAATCATTAAAATACAACAATAATTATTATTTTGTTCCATCTTTAAATATTTTAAGGTTATTTTTTAATTGTAGAAAACATCTTTGCTGTGAATCGTATAAAAAGTTAATTGAAAAAAATGAAAATGATGTAAAAAATGAAGATGAGGAAAATTTTTTTAGGAAATTTATATATCAAAAAGTGTGTGCAGACAAAAGTAAAAATGAATACAGTTCTGATGATTATGAAGATGAAAACAAGACATATGTCTTACCTATTAATAAAGGATTAAGAACGAGTTTTAGAAATGATGAAGAAAAAAAAATGAAAATAATTTTTATTAAGCAAAATCCATTTTGTTGCAAAGATTTATTATATGATTACAGCAGTAATATTTTGATTACTACTACTAATAATAATACAGAGAAATTTAAAAATATATTGGAAACATTTTTTTTAAATAGTTACCCTCACCATTTAAGTTATTTTAATTTTAATTTAAATATTTTGATGTATTATAATTTTATTGAACTATTATTGAATGATAACAATAGCTTATTAGCTCATTTATCAAACAAAATAAATTCACATTGTAATGTTACTTCTAAATCTATGATCATGAATAAAATGATCAGGAATAAAGCTAGATATGTAATGAAGTTTTTATATATAACCGAAACAAAAAAAAAAACAATTAATAATAATTCTATTTTAAATGAAGAAAATAACAACGATAAATACAAGAAAAAGAATGTTAGGAAAAAAAAGAACAAAAAGTTAAATAATGTTAGTGATAACGTTTATACAGATAAACAAAAAGAATCAAATAACATAGAAGAAAATATGTTAGTTAATTTTAATGACGATCTTATTGTTGAATTTATTAAAACAATCGATAATTATGAAAACGATAAAATTTTGTATAAGTTACTAAATAATACCTCTGATGACAGTGAAAATGAAAAAATTTTAAAAAATAAGTCAGAAAAAATTTGGTATGTTAATTTTATTTATTCTAAAAATTATGAAACTGCATTTTTTACGTACATTTTATATGAATATTATTATATAGTTCAATATTATTATCATTATACTCATCTAGTTGACATATTAAATGATTTGATTAAACATTCATGGAATTTATATCAACTACTTTTTTTTTATTATCAATTAAATTATGATATTTACATATATTTTAAATGCTTAACTCAACTATTAAATATGTTTGAATATTTTTTTGTTATGATAAAAGATAAAGAGCATATCAATGCAAATAATTTTAATTGCTTTTACAGAAATAGATATATAAAAAGAAAAAAAAAGATTCTGTATAAAATAAAAATCTTTTATTTTATTTTTCAAATTTTGTATAGTATAAATGGAGCTAAATATAAAACAAATCGTAATTTATATTTCTATATGTGTAAATGTTTTGTAAATACAGAATCAGTTATTTTTCATAGAAAATATTTCACGAAAATTCCTTTTAAAAAGTATTTTTTGGAGATGAATTTCCATTTAAAAAATATTATTAAAAAGGGTCATGTATACTTAAAAAATATATTAGAAAATACATTTAATATAAATACAATGAAAAGAATTATTACTTCTAAAATGAAGCATATATCTAAAAAATTAGGTAACTTAATTAAAAGAACATACGTTAATAATGATTATATTCATAGTTATGTATTATCATTTAGACGTAATATGATGTTTCATATAATTATCTTGAACGTTAATTTTTTTTTAATTAATTTTAAAGGAACCATAAAATTAGTTGAACAAAATTATTCTACCTTCATAGAGAATTATTATAGAAAATTTTATCATTGGGATGAAAAAAATTCTAATAACAATGTTATTGTTCTTTCAATGGATAAAGTAAAAAAAAAAAAAAAATCTTTGTTACATTTTTCAAAGAACTTAAATGAAAAATTATATAATAGGAATATAACTAATAAAGTAAGTGGAGAGATTTCTAATTATCATGCAAATATTTATTCCTTTTTTATGAAAACTCAAAAGTATAAAATTTTAAAAAAAAAAGCATTTGCTGATTTGTATTTTGAAAGTGTAAATTTTAATAGCAATAAGAATAATAATATTGAAAAATCTAACAATAAATACTTAAAACGATGTAATTGTAGCTATTGTCTGTTAAATTTTTTTCAAATAATAAAAAACAATGAAAATAATCTTATGAAAAAAAAACAATTTAATAAAAATGTCAAATTTCTAGAAAATGTGAATACAAAAAATTATGTAAAATTTAAAAGTCAAAATTCAGAAAAAAAAAAATATAGAAATATTGATATGATTTCACTATTTCATATATATATAAATATTATTTTTGAACTAAATAAGACAAAAAAAAAATTACCATATTTATTTAATTACAATTTTATTTTGTCCAACTTGATAAATAAAAGTAAAAGCAATTTTTTATGCCTTAATAAATCAGATATTATTAACGACTGTATAAAAAATATATTTAAACAAAATTATGAGATTCTACATAATACATATTTAACTAAAATTTTAAAATGTGAAAGTACATTAAATATTAAAAAACAATTAAACAATAAACATCTGAATAATTTTTTTAGTAATTTTAATATATTCAAAAATGATTATTACAAAATAGATCCTAAAATCATAAAATGTTTTCTAATTGGCTTTTTAAAATTTTTTAGGAAATTTAATAGAATAATAAGAAATCCAAATATTATATTTTTTTTATATTATTGGAGATCTTGTAGCGATTTAATAAATAAAAATAAATTTCCGATTAATAATTTTTTCGTAGATCAAGAATTAGCAGAAAACATATTTTACTCTTTTTTTTTGTATTTTTCTAAAATAAAATGTGCAAAAAATGAATTAATTAAAAATAGAATTAGTATAATAAACTATAACAAATTATTTAAGTATATATTAAACATAGAAAACATTTTGATAAAAAATAAGGATAATATAGTAGTGCCAAATAATGATATATATGACAAGCTATTTTATAAAAATCAAAAATATTCGAATAATAAATATTCTTTAAATAAAAAAAAAGAAAATACAACTAAATTAAGTTTAAAATCTAGATTAACTTCCCTCATTCAAAATATAAACTTTTCTTCATATATTATAAAAAATATAAAAATTTTAGATATATATAAATCCTTTATGAAGTTAATAAATAATTTAAAAGATAAAGAATATAAAATTGATTTCAATAAAATAATATATTTTCATTCAAATGATGATATTTATATGAACAATATATATGAAAAGATGGAAAAAAATATAGTAAATAAAGAAAAAGAAAAAAATAGAATAAATAAAAAAAAAAAACATAGTTTAAATTTTTATAAAAGTATTTCTAATTCTATTATGATAGATAATTTTATTAATAACAGTAAACAATTTTTTTTAGTTAAAAAAATGAAATTTCTTGAACAAATAAATAATGAATGTTATAAAAGAGATATTACTATGAAGGACAACGATTCATTTATATATAACGAGGATAAAGGAATCTCGAAAACACTATCTAAAAAAAATACGTTGAAATATATTCTTGTAAGATTTTTTAAAAGAAATGTATTTGATGAATTTAGAAAAAACAAAAAGGAAGGAGATTATGATAATTTTAATTTTAATATTTTTTACGAAGATGATCATATACATTATATAATTTTAAAAAATTATTTAAATAGTTTAACACATTTTATTGAACCGATAGATTGCATTAGCATTTTTAATACAAAAATATATAAAAAATTAAATCATTTGTTTTCTAATATTCCTATAAACTTTAAAACATATTCTTACTTAAAACAAAATTTTAATAAGACATTATTTGAGTCAATTGAAAAAATTGATTCTTTAAATATAAAAGAAGATATACTTTTGAATAACAAAAAAGATATAAATTTAATAAATAATGAAATATATATAAATGATGAGGAAGGTGAAGAATTTGCATATATTTCTACAGACCTAGATTCTTATAAAAGTGATACTGTTTATTATATTAATTTAAACAAGATGAAATACGCAGATTACAAAAAACATGTAAAAAAAAATAAAAATCTTTTAAAAATGGCTACAAAGGAAAAACCATATTGTAAATTGAATAAATGTTTTTCTTCTGTTATTCAAACAAATAATAATGTTCCACTTTTTCATGATTGTTACAAAATATATACAAATATTTTTCGTAGATTAAATGATTACTTTGAGAATTCTACATATCTATTAAAAATTTTAGACGAAAATATTTTTGAATGGCATAATAATTTAAACATGTATGATACATTCTTATTTCTTCATAATAAATGCTATAATTTCAGAAAAACTGTAAAACAAAGAAGTGTTACGATAAATACAGATGAAAATGATTTAAAATTTGAAAATCATTTTAAAAATAAAAACTGTATGAATAAAAATAATATAAATGACACATATAAAAATATGAAGATGAAAACTTCAAATATGTATAATGAAAATAGTTCTTCATCTAATGAAACAAAAAAAAAAAGTAAAAATGAAAATAAAAAGGAAATAAAAATATTCAATAATTTTGACTCATATGTGATGAGAAATATATGTAATAAAAATGATATTTGTACAAAAAAAAACTTTAATTTTAAAACTACAAAAAGAAAAATTAAAGAGCCATATGTATGTATATATAATGATTCAAGTTATTTCAATGTTACTAACACATGTGTCAAAGCAGAAATAAATAAAAACAATAAATATGAAGAATTATTAATTAATTATAATTTGAATAAAAATGTTCATTTTGAATTTAATTCAAGTTTAAATTGTTTTATTTTGAGATTAAAAAATGATTATATAAAAAAAAAAAATAGAATTTTATTTTCCAAAATAAAAAAGAATCAAATATATAAATTAAAATTTATTCAGAATTTTACCTATACAAAGAAATATACCTATTTTATTTTTTCTTGTTTTATTTATTCAAAGTTTTTAATAATTAGAATGATGTATTTGTTTTCCCTAAAATATTTTCCTTCTTTATTTCTTAAAACAGCTAATTATTTAAATTATTTAAAATTGGATGAAAAATTTTTAGAACTCTTGTATTGTGATGATTATGAAATTCTTCATTCTATTTTCTATAATTTTACATCTCAAAAAAATTATAAGACAATATTTGATATATTAAGATTTAAAGGTTATCATATAAATCCTTTTTCTTTATTAGGTAGTCTTTGTTATATAAAAGAAATTAAAATTATATGCAAATGTTTTAAATTGCGAAATGTAAATTATTTCAATACCCTACATAGTGTGATATCTATAGATAGTGTCAAAAATGAAGTAGATCTTATTAATTTCGAAAATTTTATTTATAAACAGGAAATGAATAAAAAAGTTTCCAGTGAATTCAATGAGCTATCCAAAAAGGAGAAAGAAGATAATGATAAAGAAAGTTGTTTAAACAAAGTAAATTTAAAAAAAAAAAATAGAAAAAATGATTTGAAATTATATTCTGATGATTTATTATATAACAATATATTACTAGTAGAATTTACAGATAATTTAGAATATAATATTGATAATAATAGTATAAAAGAGTTTTTTAAGAGAAATTATAATGAGGATGATCATTTTAATGAAATTAAAAATTTTGAAAGTAATGTAGATAAGATGGAAATTTCCAAAAAATTTGATATAAACAATTATTTCAGAGAGGAAAGCGAAGATAAGGATAAAATATTAGAATATGAAGAATTTGAAATAGAAGAAAACCAAATAAATAATGATGAAATAAATGAGAGAAAAAAAACTCCGCGTTTAATTATACCTCCAACTTTACCAAATATATCTTGTGTATTATTAGCTGAAAAAAAAAAAAAAAAAGAGAAAGAAAGAAATAATATTTATATAAATAAAAGTAATGAAGAAAAAGTAGAAGAAGAAAAAATTACGGAACTTCATCAATATGTCATGCCAAAAAATGAAACAAATGCCTTTAATGTGATAGAATTATATGAAAAAAAAAGAAAAGCATCTAATTTAAATAATAAAAACATAAAACATAAAAAACGTAATATTCAGTATACTGAAAATGATTCAAATTATAATGAAATAAGTATGAATAATAATATTTTAAATAATAAAAAAAATGAGAAATGGGATAGTGAATATTTAAATATAAGGAATAATCAAATGGATAATAATTGCAACATTAATATTAGTAATATTAATAATAATATTTTTATCAACATAAATGAAAACGATAGGGACAGTAATAATAATAATAGTAATAATAACAATAATAATAATGATATGAATATAAATAATAATGATATGAATATAAATAATAATGATATGAATATAAATAATAATGATATGAATATAAATAATGATGATATAAATATAAATAATAATGATATGAATAATAATGACAATAATATATTGGTTAATAGAATAGATAACAATATAGACATTAAATTAAATTTTTCTTATGTAGAAAAAGGAAATCAAATAAATGAGAAAAAAGAATCATATATAACTTCAAATAAAAATTTTACAGAAAAAAGAAAAAAAAAAAAAAAAAAAAAAAAAAAAAAGAGAATAGTAATAAGATATATTATGAATGCCTTATGGAAAATTCAAATGAGCAAAAGATAAGAGAGCATTCGAAACCATCAGAAACAATTAATTTATATAATATTATTATAAAATTTTTAAATGATAGAGTTTTGTTAAAAAATGATTCTATAACTTATGAAAAATATAGAAAAAAAAATATAATAGAATTTAACCATATTATGTATAAAGAATTCACATTACATACTAATTATTATTCCGAATCCTTCAATAAAAGTATATTAAATGAATTTATTTCTCTTTTTTATGATAATAACTTTAAAAATAATTATTTAAAACATAAAAAAAAATATATTAATAAAATAAAAAAAAATAATTATAAAAAAGATGCTCCAAAAAAAAAGTATAAAAAAATTGACTATAATAATATAAGTTTAGACATAAACAACAACATAGTAAATTCATCATATGAATTTAATGAATATTCTTATTTAAATGATGATAAATTATCTTCTCCAAAAAATGTAGATAAGTTAGAGAAAGAAAAAAAAGATACCATAAAGTTTCAAAGTGAAGATGAAAATGAACGCGAAAATAATAGAGAAAATAAAATAAATAAAAAAGATATACAAAAAAAAGAAAAAATAAATATAAATATGTCAATTGCAAATAACTTTTTATCATATGATGAAGGCAAAAAATATAGTGATAAAGAAGAATATACTTTAAACAAGGAGTGTGATAATTCTTCTTGTTGTACTTCTGATTATTGTAGTAGTGAATTCAGTGATGAGTATAAAAATGAGGGTGAATATATAACTTGTTCTTTTTTTTTACATAAACCTATATATATTTTTGATGAAAGGAAGGAAAGAAAAGAAATTAAACAAAAAGAACATAATGAAAAAAAAAATTATAACAATTTTAATAATATTAATAAAAAAGATGGCAGAATGAAAGATAGTATTTTTTCTCATAATAGAGACATATTTGAAAATTATTTTTCTAAAAGTAGTAAAAAACTTCGAAATATTTATAAAAAGTTAATTAAAAAAATAGAAAATGATAAGTCTATAAAAAAAACGTGTTATAAATTGTATGACAAAAAAAACAGCTTTTTAATGAGGGATTACAAGTGTTCAAAACATAAAAACATATGGAAAAATTTTACAAAAAAATATGTAAAAAAAAAAAAAAATATAAACAATTTATTCAATGGAGATTCGTTTATTATAAATAGCATTTCAAATGATATCCATACTTATGATAACGAAATTAAGAATATAGTAAGAATATATAAAAATCAAAAAATGCTTATAAAAATTATGAAACAGAAGCAAATATCACAAAAATATAAAAATACTTTTCCATGGATTGGTGACAACATCTATATTTCTCCTAATAATGTTGATAAATTTATTATAGTAATGTCTTATTTTTTGAAACTTTTAATAACAAAAATTTCTCTTTTTATTATTTTATTATTTATTTATTTCTTTTTCTATTATTAGGCGGGATATAGCTCTGTTTTATTTCATCAAAATACTTCCTATTTGAAAAATTTTAATCATCATGCAGCAAGTGTTAATATACCTTTAAATTTTATGATTGAATCAAGACGTTTAGGTAATATACGAAATAAAATAATTTAATAAAAATTGTAGTATATTTAATTTTTTTTTTTTTTTTTTTTTTGAAATAAAAGAAAAAAATTTTTTTAAATAATTTTTATAAAGATAAAATATTTAAAAAATTTTTTTCATATATTCATTTTAATATTTTATTTTCCTTTTTTATCAGATTGCTTAAGTGTTATGTTAAGTTTATTGATAAAAGTTTTTAGTTCATATATAGATTGTACATCACATGATCTAATTACAGTAAAATCCTTTTATTATATTTTCATAATTTTTTCAATATTTAATTTTTACATAATTATAGATATATATATAATTTCACAAAAAATTTACATAATTAGTACTACTACTATTTATTTTATTTTATTTCGTAGGCTTGTAGAGAAATTGAGAAATCCTTTAAATTTTTTGTTGAATAATTACTTGATTTAATTGTTTAAAATTTAATTAATTTTGTTTTTGTTATTTTTGTATATCTGTTTTATGCAAGTTTAAAAAACTGAGAAGGAGTTATAATATTTTTTATTTTTTTAATAATATAAAAAGGCAACCAAGCAAAAAGAACAATTAAAATCACTTTATACCAAAATATAACGGACATAATTTGCTAAAAAAAAAAAAAAAAAAAAAAAATAAATATTACAAATTATTATATATATATATAAATAATAGTTTTAACTTATTTTTTAATATTAAGTATTATATATAATTTATTAAGTTTTACCATGATATCAAAATAATTTCTTAGTATAAACATAGAAAAAATATAAACTATAAAAGAGCATATATTGGCGGATATCATTAATGGATGCCTATAAAGTAAAATTAAAATTAAATATATATGTATATATATTGTTCATTTTTAGCAAAATATTTAACAAAAATATTAGTGATTATAGATATGTAATATAACCAAGATTCTACTTCTAAATGTATATTCATTATTTCTAAAACAATTAAAGATGAAAAAGATATATTTATGAGGTTATTATAATTATCATTAAATAACTTTAAGGCTCCTAACATAACAACAGTCCCCTATAATAAAAATATTAAATTTCAATTAATATAAATATATAATATATAATATATATATATATATATAATATATATATATATATATATATATATATATATATATATATATAAATTTATGTTTGATTAAAAGTAATACTTGAAAAATAGATATCCAAACAATAATAAAAAAGGATTTCAAATCTAATTTCCTTTTATGTTTTTTATTTTTATATATTTCAGGATATAAATATATTAAATTTTTTTTTATTTTTATATCTAGTAATAATGATAAAAATGGTGCTGTTGTATAATATGTTGTATAACCAATTTGCAACCAACCCTATAAAAACGATATATAAAGTATTAACTTTTTTTTTTTTTTTTTTTTTATTTCATTTTAATTAAAATAATTTTACTTGAAAAATAGAAACAGGTATACAGAAAAAAATATAACTATAAATGAATTGCAAATAAGTTAAAATAAATCCTCTGTGGATCAAAAAAGAGCACAAAGATGATGTTTGTAAAAAAGTATTATTTCCATAATAAAGAATTAATTTTTTTATATTTTTAAACTTTGAAACAATAATATCACTATCATGAACTACTTGTTTTCCTTCTCTTCCCAAAACTCCAATCCCTATATCGGCTGATTGAATCATAGCAACATCATTACCTCCATCACCTATACATAATACTTTTTTTTTTTTAATAGTTTTTATTAAAACAGCAATTTCTTTTTTTTCTATAGGACTACATCTACAACAAACCTTTAAAAAGAACAAAAAAAAAAAAAAAAAATTAGCTATTTCTTTTTTTTTTTTCTAATTTTTTTAATAATTTTATTACCACCGCGCGAGCGTTAACTGCAAAATCTACAAAAGCATTAGGAATGTATTTGATACAGTTTTGTATAATAATGTTATCAAAAAACAAAACATATGATTCTATATTACTTAAAATTGAATTAAATTCTCTTATTAAACTTGCAGTACTATTTATATTTTCATGTCTAAAAATATAAATGTTATTTTTCTTTTTTTTTATATTAGCATTTTTACAAATACATATAGCAGTTTCAATTTTATCTCCTGTTAAAACCCATACTTTTATCCCACTATTGTAAAGCATTTCAATAGTTTTTCCAACTCCCTATAAAAAAAAAAAAAAAAAAAAATTAAAAAATACATTATTTTATTTCAACTTTTTATATATGAATGTATCACATGTGCATATAAATGAATCTTTTTTTTATTCTATGAAGTTATAATTCCTATTTTGTTTTTTACTTTTTGTAATTTATCTTCAACTCCTGTTATAGCTAAAACTTTAATATTTTGTTCTACACATTCTAATACATTCTCCATTTTTCCTTTAATATCTTTATTCTTATTATATAAATTAAAAAAATTTTGAAAAAATTGTTCTTCTATATTTAAAATGCCATGAACTAAAACTCTTAAACCTAAATTTGATAAATGATCACTTTCTTCATAAATAAACGTTTTATATTTTTCATGACATTTCCTAATTAAAATATTATCTGCACCTTTAATGAAGAAATATATTTTTCTATTTTTCAAATTTCTTACAAATATACTCATTCTCTTGGTTTCTGATGAGAAAGGAATGTGCAATAATATTTCATATTCTAATATAACATTTTTATATTTAATTTCTATTTTATTGGCTGTTTTTTTTTTTAAAATAAATCCACAGTTAGTTGCATATTTTAAAAATGCTAATTCATCTGGTGAAGAGCATTGATAACTTACATCTGAATGGGAGAAATTTTCTGAATTTTCAGAAATATTTGATGGAAAATTATTATTTTTATCTCCAAATGCATTACTTCTTAAAGTTTTTTCCTTTTTGCTCATTTTCACCTCATTTTTATTTTTCCGATTAACCTTTAATATATAATAAAGATTTTTTTGAAGATCTTTATCTTTTTTTTCTTTTTTTCTTTTTAATTCCTCTTTCTCTTTATTGTTACTTTCTTTTGTTAATGTTCTTATATTATTGCATATAAGAAATGACAGAAAAGTTTGAAAGACTTTATGTCTTTTTAAATATTCTATATCATCAATATTATCATCATAATAATCTATAAAATCAGTTTTATATTTTAAAAATTCATCAACCATTTTTTCTACTTTTTTTTTTTTATTAAGTTTAGTAGCAATGTTATTACTTAGTGTATCTTTCCTTTTTGGTACATTAGTTTGATTTAATTCATAATTTTGTTTTAAATATTTTAAATTTGAATCTCGGTAATTAATATATGAGTAATTTTCTCTATTATATTCAGAATAATTTTCGTTTTCTATATCTCCAATATTATTTTTATTAATTTTCTTACTTAAATGAGATAATTTTGCAATATCATTTTGATTTTTATCCTTTAATTCATAATTAAAAGAAATAAGTTCCTTATTTTTATAATTTTTATTTCGATTATCATATTTTGAATAATTTGATGATAAATGTAATGCTGAATCATCGATATCTTCTTCATTATGAAGAACATCTAAATTATATGAGAGAATATTTTTTGTGTAGCTTTCTTTTGTTTTGTTATCTATGCTATCATGTGACATATTTTTATCATTTTCTGCATATATAACATCAATTCCTGTATGTATGACTTTTAATATCATAACATTTTCCGTTAATGTTCCGGTTTTATCAGTAAAAATATAATCAATATCACCAAAGTTTTCAATTATAGCATTATTTTTTATAATCGTAGTTTCTATTTCTTTATCTTTTTGAATTAATAAAGTATAATAAATTTTTGCTATATTTAAATTAACACTTAAAGATATCGGGATAACTGATGAAAATAATAAAACAAAACGAATAAAATTTAAGTACCATAAATTATTTAATTTAATAGAACACATATACATAGAAAATATAGCTAATATAATAAAAAGGCAAAAAGTTATCAAATTTAATTTTTTATCAATCGTTCCTCTTTTAATTTTGCTAATTTGAGTACTCATATTTACTCTTGTATCACTTCCTGTATATATAACTAAACATATAACATCAGAACTAGTTATAACTGAATTGAATAATATAAAATTATCATAATTTAATTTTTTTCTATAATTTATATTATAAAAATTGAAATTGTCTTTACTATTATAAACAGTACGTATATTCCTTTGATTTTCATAGTTACTATTTTTTTCTTTATTTTCTGTATTAAAACATTCTAGATTTATATTTTTATCAACTTCATTTGCTACATCTGAAAACACTACCATTTCTTTATTTTTTTTTTCTTTTTTATTATAAATATAATCTATATCGTTTTCTCTTGTTTCTTCTAAATCAATGTACCCCTTTTCTAGCATTTGTTTTTTTTCATTATCCATTTCTTTACCTTCTTCATATTCATATAAATTATCTTCGTCATAATCATAATCTTCTTCATTTTCATATTCTTCGTCTTCGTCTTTGTCTTCTTCATCTTCTTCTTCTTCTTCTTCATCTTCTATTAAATCAAAAGAGTAATTTAATGTTTGATTATTATTTACATTATCACCATCGTTTTCAATAGTTTTAAATTTACCATATGGGTTATATTTAAATACAACATATGAACCTTCAATATTATAAATATCATTTTTTGGTTGTTCTAAAATAAATAATATATCAACAGAAAAAAAATCTTTTAATTTTTTAAAATTTTGAAATATACTAATAGGGTATTTAATTTTCCAATCTGTTTCTCCATCAATTTTGTCTGTTTTCACATAGGTATAATTTTCTGTTTCATTTGAAGATTTGCTATTATTTTTCTTATTTGAATTTTTGTTTGATTTTTTTTTTCTCTTCTGTTTTTTTTTAATCTGAAAATTATTATTAAATTTTACATTATTAATATCATTTTTATTGATAGACTCATTTTCATCATTTAAAAAATATGCATTTTGTTTTATTTCTTTTTGAGATTTTTCATTTTCACTAAATAATAGATTATTACTATTTTCACTGTAATTATTATTTGTCTCATTATATCTTTCATCAATTAATTCATTATCAATATTTTTATTAAAATGGTAATAGTTTTTATTAATTTTGTTATATACATTGGTGTTTTTATTTAATTTTATGTTACAAAATGATTTTTTTTCTTCGTTTTTAAATGTATATTCTTCATTCTTATTTAAGTTCTTTAATAAAATACAATCAGCAGGAACTCTTTGTTTTGATTTAATTAAGATTATATCACCAACTTTTATATCTTTTGAATATATTTTCTCCAAATTCCCGTTTTGAACCAATGTATAATAAATTTCATTATTATTTTCTAAATCTTTTATAAATCTTTTAAAGTCATCTACGACCTCATTTATTAAACTGATGAAAATAATAAATATAAGTGGTGCAACAAATGTAAATACATAACCTGTATTAAAAATTGGTATTATTTGTAAAAGAGAAACACATAAATAAAACAAATTTAAAAAGTCCGAGAATTGATAAAACAAAAATAAAGGAATAAAAGTTAAAATGGAATATTTTGTACTTCTTATTTTATTATCACAAAAAAAATTCGGAAGAGTTCTTCCATTTATATTTACATATCTTTCTCTTTTTTTATTTTTTTTATTATAAATATGACTAAAAAGTTTGTAAAATATATATGATAAATAATAACTAATTTTTCCTCTTTTTCTATTCAAAATAAAACGTAGTTTTCTTAATTCTTCATCATCAACCATTTTTTTTTTCCTTTTTTTTTAATCTAATATATTTTTTAATTATTTATTTACTTTTTTTTTTTTTTTCTAACAGAAAATATATTTATATGAGAAAAAAAAAAAAAAAAATCATATATAAATATATATATATATATATATATATATATATATATTT